CTCAAGGTGACCTGTCAGTGGAACCATTTTCACCTAGAAGATCCTAGAGCAACATGTTTTAGGATAACTGGGACTTTTCAATATAATCAAAGAAGGCGATTTTCTCCCGAGATAAAGAGGCAACACTTCAGAGCACCATTTTTTACTTCACTAAATTTTATTCAAAAATAGAGAATTTTCTTTTAAAAAGAAAAGTATTCAGCAGGGAACTCTGGTGGCCTAGTGATAAGAAGCTTCCCTGCAATCCCTAAGGCAATTGGTTTGAGGTCACCAGCTGCTCTTCCGGAGAAGGGTGGGCACTCTCCTCCCGTATGATTACTTGCCTCAGAAAATCCGCCGGAGAATCAGCTATGGGTCGGTTCCGACTCTGTGGTACACAGTAACAACAGTATTCAGTGGTCCCGGGGCGTCTCTAGGGAGGAGGAGGCAGCCGTAGAACTATGCTGTTGCTGTTCTAGAGGAGATTTCTCATCTTTCTCCCATGGAGCAGCTGGTGGATTTGAACTGCAGCTCCTTACCCCTAGGCTGCCAGAGCAGCGCTCACAGAACAACACTGAGAGGTGCGCAAAAGAAAGACTAAAATGAGCTCATCTAGAAATGCAAAGGCTCAGGTTGGGATCATTTACCTGCTTTTGTAGCTATAACTGTCACGAGCATGATTGAAATAATTGGCATGTACCTTGTTATAAAAACTCAATTTAGATTGGAAAATAAGACTGTTCTAGGAAATTCAGATGGTAAGAAAACTGAGGTAGGCCAGATGAGGACTTCATGAAAAATCATATTGATAAAGTAGTGAATTCCATAAAGTATATACATTTTCAGGAGAATTAGACACCCAGAAGGGTATCTGGCCTAGTCCTGCGGAGGGAAGTAGTATTATGTATTAATTATCTATGTACTTGTGAGTTTTATTCCGCGAGATTGTGAGCTTCTTCAGGATGAGAAGGATTGTTGATGATAATGTCCTGCCTGGTTAAGCACCATGTTATGGCTCTGACCTCAGGTCTCATGAATCTTACTCCTGGCTCTACCACTTCCTGCCTCCCCTTCTCCTCCTCTGCCCTCCATTGTTAGAACTGGACTTATGTTGGCCTTCCTCAGATTTGTCATACTTTGTGACACTCCCTTGCCCTATAATAACTTCCTACTTATTCACCATACCACACCATCCACCGTAACCTACTTTAACCACCACAGCTTTAATCAATCAAATATAAGCACCAGGAGGAGTTTTAATCTCTGTGATTTACTTCTGTTCTTTATACTTTGTTGAATATTTCATGATAGCCTTAACTTGAAGTCCTACCAACACATTATTACTCTTTGCCTACAGGCAAAACAAATTCTTCATCCACTAAGAAAAAGGTCACATCGCCTGTGACCAGAAAATTAATAGCTTGAGTTGAATCCTTTGGAGATTAAAGATACATCAAGACTTATTTCTTGGAATAAACAGCATTGTTTGGTGATGATGTATCTTACTGTTTTAACACCAGAGAAAACCTTTAGAAAGAACAAAACTATT